AACGATACAAGGATGCAATTAAGCAAACAAAAGTTGAAATGCTAATAAATAACACAAAAATTCATTTTAGATTGGAATTATTATTTATGTGCTTATATGAATTCGCTCGCATTTTAATGAAATTATTCATCAGTATTTTGCCCAAGAGCATATCTCTCATCTCTCATATTTCCTTCTCTTCATTTGGCTATCAGCACGTTGCATTTTCTGGCTTATCACCAGCTTAATAAGAATACCAGTTTCTCAGTTACCAAGTTTCTCAGTCTTTGAATCAGAGTTTTGTTGGAATAAAATGAAAATGCACATATTTCCATGCGAGCGTCTTGGCGTTGAGTAAACAAGGAAAAGTCACGTAACTCAAGTCTTTGCTCGAAGATCTCGTTCAAGATTTATTGACAGCACCGGAAACGGGAAATGGGCAAGACACATGTTCTCCTGTCTGTGTGTGTGTGTGTGTGTGTTACCTTCCTTTTATTTACGCGCAATTAACCCAGTTACAAGTTCGACATGCCGCCGAAGCAAACGTCGTCCTCACTCGTATATATCCTGCATTTATCATAATTACTTCCCCAGAAATTTACCGCCAAAAAAAAGTGAAAGCGAAAAAAAACAGAGTAGAGACTTCCCTGATGATGTTGATGATGATGATGATGAACGTTGATGAATGCTCGGGGCCTCAGCGAAATTCTGCTGCTTTGGTTAATGTTTTAATATGCCTCTGGCAACTATTAAGCGCACTTGAAAAGCTGAACCTTAAATGCCGGTCGCATATTAAACATTAATAATTAATGAACGGCGAAAGGGGTTTTCGCCGTTGAAATAAATTCTTTTCCATAGCATACATTTCAGGGCACACGCACTCCTTCTCCTTGAACGTCGGTGTGCAAGTGTGTGTGTTTGTGTTTGGCATGCAAATATTCAAACATCGAAATGTGCTCAGCAATTATTTTGAAAATGCAAACAACTTGAAACAACAAAAAAACCAAACAAATGCGACAATTGCAGTCCGTGCATTGGACCAAAAAGGACGTTACAAGACAAGCGTTTGCAGGACTTTACACAGGAAAAATTATATTATGAATAAATTATTAAATGATAAATTAAAATATTTGACTGAAAATCTATTTAAAAGTATCTTTTTAAAACCCAAAATTTCTGTTTGATTTCAGATACCCATAATAATACTTATAATTATTATTGTTGTCATTATTCTGTAGTGATTTTTCTCTCTGTGCACACACAGTCAGCTAAAACATGCAACATGCAAACTGACTAGGCTCGAGTGCCATAAAAACTGGAGTGAACAATATACAAAACTTATTTTCAAATCAAACAAACAGCAAAAACCATAGTGTATATCGGTCCTGTGGCCAAGGGGGCAGGGTACCAGGCAGGGGGCAAAGGGGGCAAAGAGCGGCGGGCAGTGACAACAGCGAAACAGTTACAGTTACAAAAAAAAGCGCCAGCTGCTGGAAGCAGACAAAAAAATAGGAGAACAGGAACCCTGCACAGTGGGTTGAGTTCTACTAAATTTAAGTCCTTAGAGTTTTGAGAACAAACACCATTGTTTTTAGCTGCTTTTAATCCTTAATTTTAGCATCAATATTTTAAATAGATTGGAAACAATTTAATTTAGATGTAAACCAGTAAAAGGTTAAACAATTCTGAAATATTTAGAACTTATTAGTTTAGCAAAAACAAAAACACGAATAAATATTAACAATCTCAGCTAAAATAAAGTCTATTTCTATTTTTTAACCTCACCCAAGCTATGTCTTTTAAGGACGTACATAAATATGTCTTGTTCTTGGCATTTAATATTTATTTTATGTATTTTCATCTATTTACCTTTATTAGTTATTGCTATTTATAAGATAAATACATTTTTCATAAATAAATCTTACTGCTTGTATTTAAAATTGGTAAATTACAAGAATCGTACTATTTGTACCTACTTTTGTAAGAAGTATCCTAAGGATCTGGCATTAAACAATTAAATAAGCACAATTTAATAAAACGTTAAATATATGAAACGAATAAATAGTTTTCGAACCACAGTGCATCTATGCACTCTCAACGGTCTCCGACTGGCACAAACCAGAGTCAGACTAACAAATTCCGAAAAATGTCACATTGCGCACATGAAAAATGTCCTTGTGACAAAGCGCCAACGCCAAGCGGCGGCAAGTGCGGTTGTGTGTATGGGGTGTGCGGTCCCTCTGTGTGTGTGTGTGTGTATGACAGTGTGTGTGTGTGTGTGCGAGTGTCAGGGTGCGAGTGCTGCTGGCTTTGCTTTAGCAAGGTCATGAGTAAATACGTTTGAAGCATGCTGTTTTTGCCGTTTATTCTCTAACAAAGCCAAGGCAGCAACAAGAACAAAAAGGAAAAGAATAAATAAAATAAAATAAAATAAAATATAGAGGAAAAAAGTTGAAAGGAAACAAAGAGAGAGAGAGAGAACAGAGAAATTTATTGTCATATGTATATATTATATATGGGAAAGCTTCTTGCTGATGCTTCTTATTGATATTTATACAAAATACATTCCCTCGTCCTGCGACTCTAGGAGAGTGTGGTGTGTGTGTGTGTGGCTCATTTGTAATGGCGTCTGCTTGCCAATTTGTTGTGTGTGTGTGTGAAAAAGAAATGCAAATGTGTATCGGTAAATCAAAAAGGACATTATTGGCTGCTTGTTAGACGTAAGCACAATTGCCAGCCATTACGTAGGTAAATGTCTCTGTGTAGGTGTCTAGTGTCTCTCTGTGTGTGTGTGTGTATTCGTGTTTGGCATGTCCTGTTTGCTATTGCCGTGTCTGTGTTTGTGTTTGTGTTTGCCAATGGTCGACCGCTAAGTGCGCTTAAGCGTCAAACCAAATTGGCCGACGCTTTGTTCTTCTTCGCCAGCGCTTAGTTGAAAGTGCACTTTCCCTTGCTTTTCCCCAAAACACACACACACACCTCTATTACCTCTCCAGAAAGTCATACAGAAAATATAAAAAAAAAACACGCACACACACTCGACTCCTTTGAGCACTCGAAACTTATTTGCTATTCTCGCACTCGATTAAGCGGCCAGCACTTCGTTTATGGCTTTGATGCTACTTTTATTGGCATAATCGATGGCCAACTTTTTTTTAATTGAATTCGACGGCCAGTTAAAAAGTTACGGCCCTTGGCCCCAGCTTACTCAATTTTATATATTTGTTCAGTTCAATTTGAAACTTGTATGGGTTTTGACAATGGAATGAATACACATTCAATTTGATTTATTTTCACACACGAAGTGAGGTGTTAAATTAGTTTTTAAATTCAATTTAACTCTGAAGTTTTGGAAATGGATCCTTAGCGAATATTTGATTTAGTTAAGTAAATTTAAAATACTGAAAAATCTTGTTTGTTTTAATTTTAAAACAATGCAGGGTATTAAAATTGCAGTCAGAAGCTTACAACGAGTGAAGGAGTCATTTCCGACCCTATAAATCATATATATTCTTGATCAGCATCAACAGCAGAGTCAATCTAGCTTGATCCAATAAAAATTTAATTTTTTCAAAATTTTGAAAATTGTATAAGGTGTAAGTTACACCGTTGAAATTGTCAAAAGTTGATCAAAATTTAAATTTTTTTAAATTTTAAACTGAGTATGCAGATTTAGTAACCTAATAAAAACTAATATAGGAAAGCTTTCCGATTTAAAATTAACCCTTTTTGGCTTATATATGGATATTTAAAATTTTAATTAGTCCCAAAAAATTAGCTTACAAACATATCTATAAATATCGATTTATATTTTCTTCCTTTTTAAGTTTAAGTTGAACTTTTTGGAGTATTGAGTAATTTTCCCAGACCTTTTATCAGATAATCTAATTATCTTATATCTTAAAAATGATTAATTTTATTTCGTAAACTTTCTGTAAACAAAATAATGACATTAAAGTCTACTTATGTACTTATTTACTATTTAATAACACTTCATATGTTATCAAAGCAAACCACCATTTGATATACACACCCAAAAAAACTTGTTTAAAAGAACAATATATCTTTTGATGACTGATAAACGTGACCTGCACGTTACATTGTGCCACATACATATGCTGCATGTTGGCTATATTCATTTCCTGTCTCTGATTATGTTTTTAAAGCTACATGTGTGCGATTTATTGTCCCGTGGTATATATATTCTGTGCATGCAGTGTCATTGATTAGCACATCGCACATCAATTGATCGATAAATGCATATGTGTTTAGCTTCATTTTGGGGTTTCATCCAGGAAGGGGCGGAGGGGGGAAAAAGATGGAAAATAGGGAAAATTGCAAATACTTTCTGGCCAGTGGCGTTGAATGGCTCTCATGTGCCACAGAGCGCGGCGTGCCAGGGCCACGGCTAAGTGAGTGCCAATGTGTGAGCACGGCAATTTTCAACTATTTATGAGAGCAGCCCCCGCGTTGGAGCCCAGGGAACTACCCCCAGGAGAATGGCAATAAGGATGAGGAGGACGCGGTGGGCACATGGTGGGAGCTTCTGCCTTTGTGTTAACCTGTTTTTGTTTTGCCAACCAAAGTTGGCACATAAATAATGAAGCACGGGGCATAAGTTCCCATTGATTGTGCGGTGTGTGTGTGAGTATATTTTCCCTAGATTCATGGGGATAGAGGAATGGAGCACACCATATGACTCTGGAGATTAAGCCATTGTTTGCACCGAATGCGGCGCTCAGTCTGAGCTGCGGCTTAGCGGGCTGCGTATGCAAACAAAAAGTTGTTCCAAGGGATTGCAGGGCTGAGCGGGTGTTTTAACCCAATTCCGGATGGGTTGGTCCTGTTACCAGAGAGGTATTGGGGTAGATCGTAGACCATTGAGGAATATGAATAAGGCCAATGGCATAATAAGGGAATCTCTGCTTGCCATAAGTGGCAACTGGTAGTGAGCCTTTACCTATTAAACCCTCTATTATATATATTAAACCTATATAGTAAGAATCTTGAATCCTTTCCAGCTCCAGCAGTGTAATGCGCCTTGGGGCAGTGGCATTCCATACGACGGCGACCCCCTGACAATGAGCGCAGCTGGCAACGACTATGCCGAACTCTGTGATCTTGGACCCTCGCGCTGGAGTGCTCGACCCTACGGATACCATTCGAATGTTGCCGGCCTGGGCCTTGGTCCCACATTGGGAGCCACACAGTCATCCTCGAGCGTGCCCACGGGCGGATCGGGTGGCCTTATTTCGCACCACCGTACGGTGCCGAGCAGCTTCGAGGCGGAGGACATTGGCTTGGCATTCGGCATGATTAGTCCGCCGCCGGGCAGCGGACCCTACATGGGATCCTCAGCAGCGGCGGCAGCAGCAGCAGCAGCAGCAGCGGCGGGGGGTTCCCGTGTTGGCAATAGCACCAGCTCGCTGCGCGGAGCCGGCGGTAGAAGCGGATTATATTACTCGCCACCGGGCACCTCATACACGATCATCGAGCGACCCCATTCGCCGCACTACTACTTCAATTCGGCGGGTGTGCCCACCAAGGGTGGCTCTCTGCCAGGACGTGGCAGTGCCTATCTTAGCTCCTCACCAGCCAGCCACATGGCTGCCGGAACGGCGGGCACATTGCCCACCTCGACGGCGGCCAGTGGTCGCCAGCAGCATTCGAGCAGCAATGGGAATAAGAAGCGACCCATCTCGCCGGAGCAGGTGCTGCGGATGTTCGGGGCCACGCAGTCGTCATCAGTTCCTACGAGTAGCTATCACTTCAGCAATGGCGGAACGCGGGATCGGGATCGTACCGGCAGAAGGAGCCCGGCCAGCAGTCCGCCCTCCACCACCCACCAGGTGAGGGATACTTAAATCTTTTGATATCTTTTCATATCTTAATAGGATATTTATTTGCTATTTTGTGATTTCAGATCTATCGTGATCGGGAGCGGGAAAGGGATCGCAGTGTCCCGAATATCCACGAACTTACGACGCGAACCGTGTCCATGTCACGCGACCAGCAAATCGATCATGGTTTCGGCATTTGCGTCAAAGGAGGCAAAGACTCAGGTAAGTAAAGGACTAAGACAGGTGTCTCAGGGAATGCGACAAAGTTGCCAGGGAAAGCAGATAAGAAATAAATCCAATTAGGTGCTGGAAAATTATATTTTAAATCAAGAAAGCAATGATAAGCATGCAATATCATTTATACTAAAATTAACTAGCATTTAGATATATTTAAAATAATTATAGCTTGTTAAAGCAACTTTGAAGCTTTAGAAAGTTTTGATTTAATGATCTTGGCTAGGATTTACCTTTAAAAATGTGAAGAAATATTCTTGGGGACAAAGAGCTATAGTTTTCAGTAAAGATCCGACTAAGAGTGTGAAGCTGAGACACACAAAAATCAGACAGATCATTTCTTTGTAAGTTATTTGCTTTAATTATTCAATCTGTCTCCTTTTATATACTATATAAATAGTTATCTAAATAGAAGGCATTTAAAAAAGCAAACTAATCACTAGATTAAACCTCAAACTAAATAAAAAAAAGACAGTTTACAAACACTATAACCTTAACTACATATTTTGTAGCAAAAGAAATGTCATTTGCCACTTAAACCGCAGCATAGGGGAATAATAATATAGAAGAAACGACATTAGTAACCAAGATGTAGCTCCACCCTATTTGGCAGCTGAAAAAAAATACCTGAGCATTCCAGGACATCACCGCGTTACACCTTACCCCTGCTCTCCTCCCCTCTACCCCCCATTTAATCTTTTGTGGGGCCTCGCCTCCTGATCCCATGTCACGCCCAGTCGGTTTTGGCTGATGGCTCTTCTTGGTTTCACCGGGAGGCTCTTACGTGCAATTTAGTTTTCAATTTCATTTTATTGTCCAGGTGCCTGGTTCCCTTCCGAACCCCTTTTTCCGTGGCTTTCTTTCCCCCGCTCCCCCCCCCCCCCAACTGAGCCATGTGTCCATCCGTCCGTAGTTCAACCGTGTGTAGCCACGTGTATTGGCGTGTGTGTGTGACAAACCGCCAGCAGCTTTGACATTTCCAAGTGCATTTTGCACCTGACTACCTTTTTGGCTAACCAGCTCTTCCTTCCCTTACCTCTGACCCCTCTCCCTGTCTGTCTGTGTGTGTTACCTTTTCTTCATTCCCATTTCCTGCCGTAGAATTTATTTTTAGTTTGCAATATGCGGACGGCTTTAAAATCGATAAAAATCTATTTAAGTTGCCCCCATATGCAGGCTTCTCTACATCCTTTTCCCTTTCCACTTTCCACTCCTTGTGTTCTTCAACGCCATTGTACACACACACACACAACACACACACTCACGTGCTTTATAAATTAAACATAAAATGGCTGCCGCACTCCATCCTCTGCCTCTTGGCTGCGGGCTTAATGAAAAAACATCGAAAAAAAAGAGGAGGCCCATGAAAATGGGTTCTAGGGGGTAGAGGGGAGTCTCTTTTTTATTAAAAATTGAATGTGTGAGTTGGTTGCTAATTGATTTCCCTCCCTTTTGCAGGCTTAGGCGTCTACATCTCACGCATCGAGGAAAATTCGGTGGCCGAGCGTGCCGGATTGCGACCCGGTGATACAATCCTAGAGGTGAATGGCACCCCATTCACTTCAATCAATCACGAGGAGGCGCTGAAGGTGAGCATCTCTTTTGCAACTTTTTCTTGCATTTAAATATATCTCTTTTTATATGAATCTTTATTAAATACTTTGTAGTAGCTAAAGTAATCTATATTTAGAAAAGAAAATCGATCAGAGCATGCAGCGATTTCGGGTGGCATCACTCTGTGTGTGTGTGTGTTGTTTTCAAAGATATTTATATTGCAAATTAATATTGATTGACACTTTTAATCGTCCCTTTTTCGGTTGAATGGCTGTTAGGCATTTAGCTGGAATAATATCCTTTATATTGTTTATTTTGGGATATTCTAATTATTTCATCAAAGAAAGGAATAGACTTTTGTGGGGATTTTCTATAGTAAATTGTAGGAGAAATATATTATAAGCCTTTTAAGAAATGCCAGAGCAATCCTTACTTATAAAATATATTCATTTAAAACCTTCAAAAAACATAGACATTAAAAACAAAGTCATAGGAAATTATCTGATAAAATCTTGAGCAAAACAAACCCATAAAACAATACCCTTATCGATTCAAAATAATTCTAATAAATTCCCATAATTAACCATAAATAAATTCAAAATTTATAAGACTGGAAAATCCTCTGGGAAACCCTTATCGAATTCTACACATCTGAGACCTTTTCCCTTGGGGTTTTCTCCCATCTTTCCCTCAACCCTGACATGTCAAATTTCTTTTACTTCCATCAAAAAAAAGTAAGAAAATATCTAATTTTATTGTACACTTTATTGATTTTTAATGTGATTTTCTAGACGGCCTGTCTTGGGTGTATCGGCAGCTTCAGTTTGTCAATCGCTGGTCCTTAATAGTTGCCCATAATGGGGTTCTATCCATCAAGCATATGTATATGCGCACAAGCCGATATGTTTTATATATATACTTATATATATATGTATATTGTTGTACGAAGGCATTCAGTAGGCCACATTGCCTTTTATGGCCGACACTTGACAGAGTAACCGAAAGAAAAGGATTTTCCCTATGCCCCCCTCTCTCCCTCTCCCCTCCTCTCCTCTAGTGGCAGCTGCCTCTAACAACGAAAGTCAATTTATTGTGGAATATTTTATGTGACACGTTATGATAGTCAATATAATTCCTAGCCATGCATATTACTTGGCAAAAGACGAGGCTTTGGGATGGTACTGGAGCCTGCCTGGCACATGGTGTGCCATTTCTCACGCTTTCTGCCAATTTAAACTTTAACCATTTCGGACAGAACTTGTTTGGGAACATACACAGCTATAGAATATAAACTGAAATGCAAATATATATAGATATATCTATGTATATTCCCCCGCTATCGATTGCCGCCTGCTCTGAGCGATTTTTTTGTAGTTGTTTCCTATACGAAGTATATAAATCTTTATGCACTTTGATACTGTTATGTATGAATATTAACAAAAACCAAATACGAAACAAACATGAAAATGAATTCAATAATACACTAATACAAATATACACTGAGAAAAAATTGGCAATAGACTAGTCGCATTTTGTATCCGCATTGTTTTTGTTGGTTATTTGCTATTTCTGTTGAATTATTTCAATAAATTTTAGTTTAAGTTTAAGTTTAAGTTTAAGTTGACTTGACACCTGCAGGACCTTAAATGCAAAAGGACTTTCTCGCTGAAAGCACAATGGCTTACTCCACACAGCACTCAGCACTCTAATCGACGGGAAAATGTGCATTTTGGGCTTTAAAACCCAACCACAAACCGAAAAATTAAGGCTCCAGGTGGGGAGTGGGGGAGGACACAACACCTGGGGGAATTCGCAGACCAATTTGCACGCAGCACCCGCACACCTGCCTCAGTTCCCCCTCCCCCTGAGTCCTTGGATCCAAACAATTTTGCGCACAATTCTCACATTAGTTTTTTGGTCAGAAACAATTAAAATAATGACAGCAAAATGTGGCCAACACAGGACACGGAATACACAAAAACACTGACAGCAAACGCACAAACCGCACAGACCAAAAAAAAAAAAGTAAAATGAAGGACGAACGGACACGCCCACAATTAAAGTTAATTAATAATTTTTGGGGGAAACAATTTCGCAACCACTTGCCGTACACGGTACAATTACTACCAAATATCATTTCACTTTTGGTTCACTTTCATTTTCCTTTCCTTCTTTTTTATTCTGGTACTTTTTGCTCCTTCCCCCCCCCCCCTCTTTCTCTCTTTCTCTATATTTCTCTCTATGTTCGTTCCGTTTTGCTCGCATCTGTCCTCTCTTTGTGTCTCTTCTATTGCCACATTTTTTCTTAACGCAGAGATGTGTGCAGATATTGAAATCGTCACGTCAAATCAGTATGACGGTCCGCGCCCCGCCCACGCTCAATTCGGCCGCCCCGCTCCACGGCTTTGGTCCGCCCTCCCGTGACCCGATGTACGCCTCCATGGCACCCCCGCTCCATCCCCAGAATCAAGCAGCAGCGGCAGCAGCAGCAGCAGCAGCGGCGGCCGCAGCCTCCGGAGCGGGTTTGCCCTTCCGCCAGACCTGCTCCTGGATGGATCGTCATGGTAGACCCGCCTCACCGCCCATGGAGTACGGGGGCAGGCGCAGCGAGCGAAGGGATCGGTGAGTGTCAATGAGAGAGATTAAAGCCAAACCAGGAACTAACTTTAGACTCTTCCCAATCAGGATACGGCGAGTGGAGCTGCTGATCGAGCCGGGTCAGTCCCTGGGCCTGATGATACGTGGGGGCGTGGAGTACGGGCTGGGTATCTTCGTCACGGGCGTGGACAAGGACAGCGTGGCTGACCGGGCTGGACTGATGATTGGCGACGAGATACTGGAGGTCAATGGGCAGTCCTTCCTCGATGTCACCCATGACGAGGCAGTGGGTCAGCTGAAGTACCACAAGCGTATGTCGCTGGTGATACGTGATGTGGGCAAAGTGCCACACTCCTGTACCTCCATCGAAATGGAGCCCTGGGATGCCTACAGTCCAACGGGTACAAGGTGGGTTCAATAACTCTTTGATCACTTAATCCTTGGATCATCGTGTAAACCTAATTGAAACCCCATTAGGGCACGCCGAAAAGGTCAGATTGCCACCATGGTGGAGGAGAAGGCGCGATCTTTGCTGCCCCGTCATCACTTTGCAAGCCTTTCCTACTATATCGCTGAATATAGTGCGAAAGCAATGACCATAGATGCCTTTGTTGCCGTCTTATTAGAGATGTTAGATACGTACGAGAAGGTATAACTATTACCTAGGTTTATTTAAGTTTAAAAAATACAAGTTTCCTCCAATTTCAGCACACGCTAGTGACGGAGATAAGGGAACTGGTGTTCCCTGAGGATCGCACGCGATATGACGAGCTTGTCTATCGCAGGGAACGCGATCCTTATAGCGTGGACAGGCACAGGGTAAGCAGAGCAAGGACTAAAATCCCTTTTCTTAGTATCCCTAACCATGTAAATCTGTATTATCTTTTGCAGCGTAAGGGAGACCCCGCACGTGATTTGCCGGTAAGCTTTTTAGAAGATTTATTCTACGACACAGACACTATATACACTTAGTTAAGAGAGACAAGACACTTCTCTAGTTCTCACACACTGAGCATGTTCAGCCAAATACTATCTACTATATGTTATATCTGCGGTCTATCTCTACTGTCTCTACTAATCCTATAATGTCTATATAAAGAACTACTTACTCGCCTATAAAAGTGTTTATTGTTTAGTATATCTCTTTCTCTTCTCGCTGTTGTCGTTGTTAATTGTTGTTGCTGTCACTGTATGTTTGTAACTTTTACTTTAATTTATCTGTTTCAACTGTAGTCAAAATACAAGAAAATAACACTCGACATAAAAAGAAACTAAGAAAAGAAAATCAAAACAAAACTTGTAGTTTAATTGATGAACGAGTCAACGCACTTGATGTTTTTCTTTAGCCACCCAACTTGAAACCAGTTAAGAGCTTCTTTCATTTCCCAATAAAATTGCATGTTATTTTCCTATTTCTCTGCTGAGAAAGCTTTCCGAAACTCGCTTACTTTCGATTCGGACCTTGGCAACTCAAATTGCAAAACAACTCGAAACAGAAACAACAAACAAAAAATCGAATGTCAATTTTTACAAAATCAACAAAACACAAAACACATTTACAGCTTTAGTTACATTGTAGTTTACCACCAATTTTTAGCAGTAAGAACAAGGTAAATAAAGGTATTTGTGGACATTGTAAATTAAGCTGAAAAACGAAACAAAATCGGAACTAACTCTGGGAAGTTGGTACAGTTGACCCTTAAAGACTTATCAACTGTCTTTGTAAATAAACCATATGCAGGATATATTCAAATCAAAGTTATCTTAGATCAGCTTAGTTATCTTTAGCTCTAGTTTTAGATATAAGCAAAATTACTGTATCATATCGAATCGAACCTATGTAATCATACACCGAAAAGTGCACTTACGAAAAAAAAGGATAATCAAGAAACTAAAAACATTCACCCAGAATTAGCACCGATATATGCATATATCTAATATATATATCAATCGAATGCACAAAAAAAGAACCCCAAAACACTCTAAATCTGTTACGCTCTCCAGCCACTATCTCTGTCTCGCTCTCGCCTCTCCTTCTGTCTCTTTCTCTCTCTCGCTGTCTCTGTGCTGAGTAGTGATCTACGAAAGCCTAGATCAGTAGCCCCCTCTCACTCTCACTCTCACTGTCTCTCACTCGCTCTCTAAATCGTTTGCAAAACCAAATCGATCGTTTCGTTTTCGTATCGTTCCATTGCGTACCATTCCGTTCCGTTCCGTTCCCCAACAGGTAACATCCGACGATTTGGAAATATTAGCCGCCACCGGAAGGAGTCCCTCGTCGGACTCGGGCCTGGGCATGACCGTAACGGATATTCACAAGCGGTACCAAGAATCCATATCCTCATCCATATCAGTATCTATATCCCAAACCATAACCATATCCTCACCCTGTACCATATCCATATCCTTAGTCTACTATCCTATTGCCGTAAAATGCAGTCAGAACCAAAATCGGATTTATATTATTATTTTGTAGAATACTATTTTTGATTATGTGAAAAACTTAATAGCTTTTTAGCTTGTCTCACGAATCGGGGTTATAAATCTTAACTGATTTTGCTACTTAAACTTCTTTAAACAATTGAATTATGGGATCGTATTGAAAAACGATTATATCTAAGTTTCGAAGTTCTTGAATCGATATTTATCGGTATTTTTAACAAACAATTTATTCGATAAATCAAAGTTTTCTTTAAATTCTCAAACGAATAAGTTTACATTTCACAACTAGTTTTCTTAAACTTTAGTTCTAGTTTTCCAAGTTCGATTTTGGTTCTGAATGAAGTGCAATTTACCCCTCTATAACATAATGTGTGTGTGTACGATAGACCCGCACTCCAGTTGCCCCATCGGCCCATGTCGGCGGGACCCATACTGCATCGAGCACATCCAGCATCATCTGCCTCGGCTGCGGCATCAGCATCAGCATCCCATTATCAGGCAGGCAGCAACCAGTCCTCATCATCATTATCGCCACCCCAACAACAACAGCAGCCGCCGCATCAGCGTCAGCATCATGCCTCATTGCGTCATCTGGGCGGCGCTGGATCGGGATCAGTATCTATAGCTGGGCGTCATCATCACCGTCATCTGTCGGGACCAAGTCAATTGAGGTTCAAGCAGGCCCAAGACAATGTGCAACAGGTCAGGACCGAAGCGAGTCGGACAAAGAGTGTAGAAAAGCTGATAAACTTACTCTACCTATGAAACTTTTCCTGAAACTGTTCTATATAGATATTTTCACTATTTTGAGGACTTTTTCTAAAAGAATCTTCTGGAAATAATGTAGAGAGTGTACTTAGCAACATTTTTTCAAAATTTCCTTGGGATTTCAGTGGGCTTTCTTAACTTTTAATTTACTTTTTTAAATAAGTTTTATAAAGCTCTAAATTCCTTATCAATTTCTCTAAATTCGGGAAAGTCTATATATTATATAACACAATTATTGAAAAAGATATAACTAATATATGGACTTTTCTTAATCGTTTCAAAATTATAAGAAAGGTAGCAAAAAAAATTGACATTCGGATGTATTTGCCCCACGATTTGTCTGTCTGTCTGTGGTATCTGTTTTTTAATTTCATTTTGTATCTTTAGTGTCTTAGCCTCTCTCTCTCTCTCTCTTTATCTCTATCTATGTATCTGTATCTCGAACTACTTTTCTGTATTTTTATCTTTCGTTTTGTGTCTGTGTGCCGTCATTTGTCGTGTGTTGTTTATATGTTTGCATTTATTTTTTTTGCTCTCTGTGGTTTCAGTTTACGTTTTCTCGTCTCGTCTCTGTTTCCGGTTATATTGTACTTCCTTTTTTTGATAAATGTTGTCCAATTGGCATTGAGTGTTGTAATACCGTTAAGTCGCATTAAGAGCAGCACCAAAAAAAAAAATCAATTGGTTGCCAACCGGTTGGTTCTGTACAATATATATGTTTTGTAAATTCTTTCATCCCGGCTTAGGAATACGGCTGTGATGAGCACAGAACTCGCCGGGGCAGCGAAACCCTTTTACCGGAATACGAACAAGATACGGTGAGTAAGTGATCACGAACTGATCATGAAAGATATATAGTTATAGGGAAGAAAAGAGGAATTTAACATGCTAGAAAGGTTCTATCTTATTGCATAAAATTCTTAATGATATATAGGGATAAATTATGTACAGATAATCCATTTCAGTATCAGCATTAATCATTATTTCTATATTACATTATCCCCTGTAGCTTTTGTTAACATTTATGAATGAATACACGAAGAATAATAATCATTTGCTCATTCCATTCATTCCATAAAATACCATAATCAGCACATTTTTTTATAATATGCCTTATTATTCATATATATACCTTATTAACTAACATTTCCATTGAAAACTCCACTCAGTTTTGTCTATTGTTTATTCTTTGTATCTGTAACTGTAACTGTATCTGCTCTATATATATATGTATATTAATACGACAAACTAAGCTAACACTAGACTTAAGCACTATCTTATGTGGGTTTAAGGTATCGAGTATGGTATATATGTATCTAGAGTCGCCTCACATCTTGTCGTGCAGCGAGCCCTCGGCCACCATGGGCAGGTGGTAGTCACGGGGCGGCGTAAATGGACGCACAAAGTGGCGCCACTGTCGATGGTGCAGGGGCGGTGGCGTCTGGGTGGGCGTGGCCGTGGACGAGGACACGGTCGCCACAGTGGCTGCCACCGCATGTTGGTGCTGCTGGTGGCAACTGTTGGGCTCAAATTTCGGGCGTGGTATGCGCAATTGTTTGATCTCCGTCAAATAGGTCTCCATGCTGCCGGTTGCCGGTCGTCAGACGCCTCCTGTTGATGTTTGATTTGTTTAAATGATTTGTTGTTCTTTGGCCAAGTTGCAATCAGTGTGGAGTGGACTTTTGTGCGCGAGTTTGCCATTGCACTTGGTTGTGAAAAAGTCAGGCAAAGTAAATAGAAAGGGTAAACAAAACGGTATGGTTGGGTGTATACCCTTTCACACCCACTGAGAAATGGTTAAAGTATTTTAAAGAGGGGAAAAGCTCCATAAAACTTAATAACCTTAGAGTTGATTTAGTTATAATTTAATCAGGCTGACAGCTTTGTAAATTATAGTTAAAAAGAAAGCTCTATTTTATCACAAGAGCAACCAAACTTCACTTAAGTTCTTGTTTGATTTACTGCACTTTATTCTTTATTTTTTGATGAGCAAAAACTTCTTTGGACTCTGCTCCACAACTTGTTGAGTAAGTGCAGCAAAAGTGAAAGTAAATTCACCGCCAAAACCCCCAAAGTCTGTGTGTGTGTGTCTTGCTTGGCTAGAAGACAAGAAAATTGCAATAATTTCCGCAAAAGGCGTTCAACCGCATCACATGCAGGCAAAAGAAGCAGCAGCAGTCAAGTTCAGGGCAGGATTTTCATTTAGTTCGCACGAAATTGATTTGGACTTCTTGGGCCAACTGTGGGAATTAAGGGGGGAAAATGATTCGAGAAGCTAAACGTCTGGCGATCCGCTTGCTTAGCCCTGTTTACACAGCTGACACCATTTGGGCCGGCTTGACTTGACTTGAGTTGACTTGACCGATGTACCAAGCACAGCACAGAAGAAAATAAATTCGAAATTGATTTGGAAATTCAATTAAATTAAAGTCTTGTCGAAAGTTAAGTTTTCTTAGTGTTTAAAGAAAGATCTTTGAATTAAAAGCACAAGTTAAGCACATGACTTTGAGCATTCCCAAAGAAAATAAACTCCTGTTTAAAGACTTTAAAACTTATTTATGCATTATGGCTAATCTCCTACCAACTTAACACTTTAAGAACTACAAATGAGGCTTAAAACATACAATTATTTTGAACTGTGCATGTACCATGAACGATGGTCGAACGGACTCAAACCGCGCCGGCAGCTGAGTAACCAGTTTGATTTCAACCAAAACTGACAAACAACTTTTTTTTTCTTTTTTTTTTGCTGGATGTCGCTTGTCTGGCTTACGGGGACACTCACTTTTCTCTCTTGAAATTACCAAGACTCGGTGAGCGGGGGGATAGAAATCGAGAGAGCCATAGAGACAAGACCAAAAACTCAAAGTGGGTCATTAGAGAAATGTACTAAATAAGGTACAAAACTTTGTCAAGAGCAAGTCTTAAATGGAAAGTAAATTGGAGTTGGCCGGAGAACAAGTTGTTTGTAATGTAAATAAACCATTTGAGAGAACCCCGAAATCCGGTCTAACGAATTCAATGGGTGTAAAATATATATAATTATGAGATGGAGCCCAGTTGGAAGACTTGACTGAGGGGAGATTTGAAGAAGACATATGTCTGTCAATAGAAAAACACTTCTCCATCATCATAATGAGAACCTTAATTAAGGCGAGAGGAGGGAGTGTGCGCCGTTCAGGTGCTAATTCTTGAATGCTGATTAACCGTTATGACGAACTCTTTTCACATTCAATCCATTAGGCCATGTTAGCAATCCGGACAGCTTGTCATCTTTAGACATTATTAATTATAACCGACTGGGTCTAAGAGGGGTTTATAGGTTTAGTTAATTACGTTACCTTTTTGGCAAAGACTACAGGCGGTTGCCCTACAGGGGGTACCCTTTCTCTACAGGGTGTTATGTGTAGCAAAAAAACTAGCATTTATATCAAGAAGATGTATGAGAAGATTACCAATGATTTGCCATTATTCAATCAATCAATTTCCAAAGATTTCCCTTCTAGAATTTACCTAGAGTTTTAAGAACCTTTTTATTACACTTTCTGAGACATAATTGATTTAATTTCAACGTATAGCCAAAGCTTAATTGATTTATTTTAAGTCACTCAAATTAAGATTAATTTTGAAAGTGTTAAATTGCACACCTTGAGCTATTTTTAAACCCCATCATTTCAGTTGACAAATCCCAATTCGATTGAAATTACCAAACACCAATCCATTTGGCCTTGAAAAGGCATTAATAATATCCAAGCTTTTGGGATTAAAATACGTTTTGTGTAACCCTATCGATGCGGTGAACCAATCATGAACTCTGTCCCCTTCGATCCCCTCCCACACGCATGAGTATCTAATGACAAAGAGGTGCCCCCGATTTCCCCGCTAAAAGCCCCTCAAAAGAGCCCCCAGACTCCGCGGACTACGCAACGAGGTCAATGGCATGTGCTTTGAATGATGATTGTCAGCTTTTCGATTCGATTCGAGTTACAAAAATTCAGCTACGGCTACGACTAAAGCTGCTGCTAACAGATAAAAAAATCAACAACAACAACAAAAATAATAATAATAAAAAAACATCATCATCAACAGCAGAGCGTCGACATCAAAAACTTGGCTGCGAAAAGTTTGCAAAGTCATAAATTTGATTGATTTTGAAATGGTTGCCGCCATGAGCAGCTTAACCGAAGGAGATAACATAAGTGATTGAACAATTTGAGTGAAAAATCGTTGGAAAATGATGTGTGCCTTACGCACAAAATACAGTTAAATGGGGCTGGCACAGGCACACAATTGACTGAAAGTTTTCATTATTGTTTGGAAAATTCTCCTTCTCTTTCTCATTTTCTATCTCTGTCTGGTGTGAAAGTTGTTGCGTCTCCCGGTTTTTCCGGGAGCTAAACTTGCTCCTTTTGGTTCTGTCGAAATTTCTCTGGCCAAACCTTATTCATTTTTTTTTTGGTTTTGTTTAAACTTTTTCCAAAAGTTAAACAAAAGGTAAAGCACTTAATTCACACTATTGTTGTGGCTGGAGAGGCCATGAATAATTTTGTCCACAATTCTATGTAAAGAAAAGAAAAACAGAAACCCCATTCTGAGGAGGCTAAGCTCATTGACCCATAAAACAGATCTGACAGCTGGCTGACCGAGAATAATTTATCAAATCTCGCGATCGTCGTTGATGAGAAGTGGGTCAAAAGAGTTGGCCCTAAAGAGAGATTGGTAGATTGGTAAATTGGGAGCAATTTGTATGAATTATCGGTCCAAGCCATGCGTTACTGGATTCTTATTTATGCCATTTCCAATACCAATTACATTTCGGTTAGCCCTTGGGCTCCACAGAAAGAGAGACATTCGTAAAGGCCTGTCCGAAAAGCCATTAAAAGCCATTTCGCTTGTTCTCTTGTCTTATGACCATTTCTTTCGAACCTTTCGCGTTTTGGCTTTCCCTTCCTCTCTCTCCTTTTTTTTTGTGGGTCGAAATGTTTAGCAACTACGGGTATTTCGCAGTCTTACCACTTAGAATCCGTCAGCAGCTGAAGTGCAAACGAGGGAAGAGACAGCAAACAACAAAGCAACTGAAACCGCTGCCCAACTCCAGTTTTGGTAATTAAAAATATATATATATATATATATATAGGTATGAAGAGAAACAAATAACAAACACAGAAAACAAAGGAAATTAGCTCGACCAAAAAAAGGTGAGAAATAGAAGTTAATTGAATGCAAAAAGCGAGGCAATAAAGTTGTCTGCCGCAATTTGTGATTTTTCTGTTGCCAAAGACCAAGCGACCCCTCAAAATAAAAAAAAAACCAGAGCGCGATGATATAACCAACAGACAAGAGAAGAGTACAAGTACCAGTACCAAAAACTTCTGCTGGCTTTATTATTATTTTGTATTTATGCAACGATTTGCCAGCAAACAGAGCGCGAAATGTAACGAAACGCGAGATTTGTCAACTCCACAACTGGCAGCAGCAGCAACTTGTTTCTCGGCCAATTTGGGCCCTGGTAATACGCACTTTTGCCTGATGCTTGTTTTTGGCCTTTTAGTACTCCTCCGACTTCAGCTAACTGCTATTTACGTATCTGAACCTCACGGTTGAAGCGACGACGCGCGACTGAAACTGCAGACTTCACTGAAGGCAGCTGCTGAGCTCTGAGCCCGAGTCCAATCCACAATTGTAGTTGCTCATGTTGCCGCTTTGGTTGCTGCCGCCGGTGCTTTGGCCAAAAGCCAACCAGCCGCAAAAGCCAAGCAGCAGCAGCTAGCTGAAGCTACTCTTTGTTGGCCAGAGTTGTGGGCAGAAGGCAACGAGTTTGCCAGCGAGGAAGCAAAAGACAGAAACCTTGGATTACCATCAACATCGGACTTCAATAAGTGGGGATTCTTTTGGGGCAAACCCTCGAGAGAGAGACGACCCAGAACAGATCTAAGATCAACATGTCTCTATATAGAAAATAAAAGACATTTTCAGGTACTCAAAAATGAAGTTATTTATTTATTTTCTTGATAAGAAAACAAAGCTAAATTCAGGGAACCGAAAGTCTTATACTCTAGCAGAGAAAATCCTTCATAACTCGCTTAAAAATGCTTTAATTTCCAATTGGAAAATATTTGTGTGTTAGTTTTTATAAGGGAAGTAAACCTGCATATTTAATTTAATACTTAAAAAAGTTAAAAATTTGTTCAATTTTTGGAAGTTATAATAATGTAACCCCTTCTATTTTTTTTTTAAATTTTGAACATAGCTATATCGATTCGGCTTTTGATGCTGATCAAGAATATATATGATTTATAGGGTCGAAAATTACTCCTTCACTGTGTTTTAAGCTTCTGACTAAAATAATAATAAATGGAAGGTTATGAAAGTGTTGTGGGAAGTGTATTTTTAATAGGAGCTTTAGAAAACTTAAAACATAAACATAAAAAATATAGAACTTAGACTGGAACATATTTTCTTAATATTTATGCTTATATAAGGTCTAAGATCTTTTACTATTCTCGAACTAAACATATTCTGAAGTTTAAATTAAGGCTCAGATATTAGACTAAGGCTTATTTGTAGACTTAAGTCACACAGCAAGACATTTTCATTTACATTTGGCTACAAATACTTCTTAGCACCTTATTTTGACTTTAATTCCAGTTTGATTTAAGTATTTCTTATATATTTTATAATGCCTTAATTTGATTAGCAAGCGAAAGCACTCGAAATGATCTAGAAAACAGAAAATATTACCTACAAGTTCACAAACTCTTACATTATCCATATATCATTAGATTATATTATATTATTATTATATTATATACTATATTATTTTATATTATTATATCTAGTCAGCTAAAGAGCATTTAATAGTTGACTCTAAGTAAAAACACACACATCATATTGGACCTTTTCTTGTTTGTTACTTTGGGTTTTGCTTTCTTTTACGTTTTTTTTTATTTTTGCCACTGAACGAACGCTGTTTCCCCTAGTTACTTTTTATGGCCTAGTAATGTAAAAATTACCCACAGCGACACAACAGAAACAATGGGGAGCGATTTGATAAACAAAGATTGTCAATATTTATGACTAAAAATTATACTGCAATTATATCGTTGAGATTTACGGGGTGCAAAATATATACTATATACTATATACATGTGTTGCAAGTCAGTAAGTGCTGGATTTACGCAATGGTCAAACTGGAGTGACAAATAAATAAAATGTATCTGTGAGATACTGCGGTGGTAAGCTGCAGCTGACAAACGGCGACTGCAGCTGTGCGGTGATGGTTTTTTTCTTCTTGCATTTAGTTTTTTTTATTTCTCTCTTCCACTTTGGTTTTTTGTTTTGCTCGGGCATGACGTAAACAGAAAATTTGTTGTGTTTTTTCCCGACGATCGAATAAGGCGGGAGTTGATGGCCAGAAAGGCGTTTTGTATTTGGCATTGAAAAGAGATGATGCTCATTAGTATAGTGTTGCTGTTATTCCTGAGCTGCAATAATTAATTTTCCCCCCTTGGGCTTTCCCTCTCTCTCTTTCTCGTTCTTTCTGTCTCTATCTAATCGTCGTCACACGCGGCGTATACGCAATGGACATTGGAATCGCATTAATTGGAAACAGGAACAGGTAAGCTCGATGTTCGCCGCATTTTGCCGTTTGTTACACTTTAAGCACTTTTTCGAAACTATCTTTTCAACACAAGCACACACACACACATACACACCCACGAATAAAACACATAAACATAACAAAATAAACACACACACCCCAAAAAAAGACACATAACAAAGGAAAAGACCAATAAGGAAGCAATCGTAACCAGAGAAAAAAAGAAAACCCCACAAAACAGCCAGAGTCTTGTAAATATTTAGCTCGCTGCTCGTTTTAAGCCGCCTTTTTGCTCTAACTTATTTCGCCCGCCGGTGATTCGTGTGCATAATTTTTGCGGAGGAAAGGGGGGCGGGGTAGGCGGTATAAGTGGGCGTGTTACGTGCGCTGGTAGAGCGGAGCTTTCGAGAAGAAGATTACCGAACAAAGTTTTGACATAACCAAGACTAATTAGCCAGCGAGTTTACGTAGTTGCAGCCATTTAAGTATATAGTAGCTTTAAATCAGGGATTAGTTAGTGCAACGTAAATGCATATTCAATTCCAGCCGAAAAGTATGCTACGAAAATGTGAAAGTTAGCCAGCGGCAACATGCTGATGTTGCTAGGAACAATTCAGCAACATTTGAAGCTACATTTGTTGCCACGCTCAGTAGTTGAGGAAAATAAAGAAAACATTCTTTTTACGGTTAAAATAATCATTTAAAATTAATAGAGAATTAATGTCATTTATATAAAATTTATTTCCACCACATATGTACCTTCTTAGTCTCTAAAATATATAGAATAAAATAGTTTAGAGGGTTGTAACACTCTTAAAATTGAAAAAATAATATATATTTCTAAAAGAAATAAGTATTAGCCAAAATTTCATATGTAAATCGTTTCTAACATTTATACTAAAGCCGTATTTTATTATATTCTAGTGGCTAACATTTAGAAATATGTTTTAAAACATATTAGAGAGGCCTAGTCCTTGACACCTTTAAATATAACCATTAACTCTTTTTGATTTAATACCTTAGAAGTCGAAAAACAATTAGAAATAGATACATCAACGAACCCATATTGGTCAAGACCTTAGAGACATAGTTTGGACTCTCATTATCCAATAGAATTTTTCAATCAATTTAAGTAATAATAATAATAGTAATACTCTCGAAAACCTATAACCAGTATTTGTAGCTTGACTAGTTTTATATACAAACAACTTAGGAACCCCACAAAAGACCCACAAAGAATCCCCTCGTATTTCTTACTTTCTTTTCCATTATCTTCTCCTCTAAAACCCACACTCTGATTTAAACCCGTGATTTTCACTCGAGTCTCTCATTTCACTTGGCATATCACAACCAACCAACTCAAAACCACCCACCAGAGCACCCCTTTTCAGTTGTTCCATTCAGATCCATATAGAGAGTCCCGATTTTGATTTGGATCTAACCCGTTCCGTGCCTCGTACTCCCCGAAATTGTTCTCGTTTGTTCATTTGTGTGCATTTCAGGGCGGCTACTTAGATGGACTGCGTTCACATTTGGGTGGTTTAACACAACGTGTCAAATCATGGTATTGGGGACGACCTCTAGTAAGTGCCAATGTATTTTTCGTTAAACGTTTAAAAGCGAAAACCAACAAACAAAAACAACAAAAAAAAAATTACCTAACTAACTAATGTAATAAACGACGCCAGCAACCACAGCATAGAAATTGTGTTCGCAACTTGAGTGGAATTATAATTGTCTGCGAAGCGTTCTCACAGTCTGCATTTTGTTTTTCTTTTGGAACAGACCTTTCGATTTGCATCTCGTTGCATTTAACTTGGCCTGAACTTAGTATTGTTGCTATCACTCTCTCTCTCTCTCTCTCTCACTCGCTCTATCTCTCTTTCTCTGTTTTATCTCTCTGTAACTCTGTAACTCTGTCTCTGTATGAACTAACTTAACTTAACTCAACTTAAATTAAACTTAAACTAAACCCACTTAAACTTAACTGTTTTGAATGTGCATTGCAATGACTGCAAGCCGCCAATCACATCTTTAATTGAATTAAAAACTAAATCAATTTTGAAAATTCATTCGGTTGCATTTCCAGCATTTTGTGTTGTATTCGTAGGATTTGTATTTTTAGTTTTTTTTTCGTGCTCTCATATTCCAAATTGAACTTTGCTTGCCCCACAAGTTAAACCACATTCTTATCGTTGTGTTTTACATATTTTGATTTATTTTTTTCGTGGCGCACTCAAAAACGTTTCATATAGAATTCCTTAGTCACTTTTCTGTAAAGTAATTGTCGATGTAAGTATCTTAAAAATAAAAAAAACAAAAGCTAAACAAGACACGAGACTGAACAAGTCGACATTTGCATTTAAAAGCGAAAGGTCAAGCCGAAATAAATTACAAAAAACCAAAACAAACAATCAAAAAATGAAGAAAAGCTTGAAAAATACATTTGCACATTTACGCATGAGTCACCCCGATTTCTAAACACACGCCAAAAATATATATATATCTATATATTCGTACAAATATCGATCAAAATTGGTCTTGGTTCACCGCCAGCCATTATCCACCGATCCACCAATCCACCGTTCACCGTTCACCGTTCACAGTTCACCGATTCACCATTTACACCATCGATTTGTAGTGTTCTTCCATATTTCTCTTTTATTTTGCCCTGTAATTAGTGTATATCCCGATTTATGTTGGCCTTATTTTAGCTGCTGCTGTCCCACAACCACACACGCACTCCTCCACACACACACACACATCCTAGTTGTAGTTAGCAGCTATTTTTAGTCCTGTAAATCCTGTAAAATAAGTTCGAGTTCCTAAAAGTTTTAGTTAGCGCTTCATTCGGAAGTATATACTCTTAGTCCGATCTAGTCTTAGCTAACCAAATTCTAAGTGTCTTAGTTGCCAAATCTTGCCATTAGCTTTTATAACTAGAACCGTATATTTGCTGTATAGTCGCCTTTAAAAGCCTTTCAAAATGCACAAACTCAAAGCAAAAAAAAACACACTCCCTATTGGAAAATACTAAAAAAAAAGAGAAACCCACACAGACAAGTCCACAGACACTACTTACGCACACAAGCACTCGCATATTCATAACTTGCACCTGACACTCGGCTTAGTCCAGGATACGAGCTTAAAATGAAGGTGGACGGGTGTCTTGGTCCTTGGATAAAGTGAAATGACAGAGGAACTATCCCATTTTGGTCTTAATTTATGAAGTGTTGAAAGAATGAAATACCCTAAACGGCAATGTGATGTTGCAGAAAGTAAAGGGAATTAGTTTTAAATGAATTTGGGGATTTCCCTTTGTATGGCAAACATAACTGATTGAAAAGTATTTAATTAATATATACGTTCAAAATAATGCAGCAATAATAATTGCAATCAATTCAGATTTATATAAATATTCTATGAAAATTAAACAGTTCAAGAGAATTCATAAAGGATATTCAATATAAAACTAAAGCATAGGTATCCTTGGCGTTTTCAATTGAATTATAGAATAGTATTGAAAATCGATCATGAAATTTAGTTCAATATTAATAAAATACAAGAAATCCTGTAATTAAATTTTAAATTTCATCAGGATCTCAATTGAATATATTCAAAGTTCTTAATCTATAAAGAAATCTTCCATTTCCTCTTCCAAAAACTGCCAAGCAAAGGGTTAATTTCCATACATAATAGCAAGTTTTATACATTTTCCATGCTAAAACTTTTTCCCCTTTAGGAACAATTTTCCTAATATTCAATTCAAGTTCATTTTGAACGCTTCCATCCCCAAATATAAGCCACAATTTGCCATATCAAAGTATCAAACGCCAAAGCCACTGCCAAAGCAATCAAGCAACTGCAAGGGCTTACATCAACGAATAATCCAATATGTTGGAAAGGTAACGAAAAATCGAAAAACCAAAGGGGGAAAAAAAAGAAAAATGAACCATGAAAGCTTCGGCTGCGATTCAGGCAAATCAGCTCAGTTCAATTCACTTTGAATGCCAATCGATATACGCAATCTTCGACTCTGTCTCTCTATCTCTATCTATATCTCTATAGCTGTCTCTCTTATATCCGTAGCACGCTTTGGCCAAAAACCACTGTCCCTAAAAACCACCCAACCACCCAACTTACCCCACTGTAGAGTGAACTGTCATACTTTATTCAATTAAACCTCTGTAACTGTATGTTTTGCAAGTTTGCAAGTGAACGAGAACCAAAACAAACAGCAGACACTCGCAAAAAACCAAGACTTCTTTATATATAGCATATTCTAAGCATATATTCACACGCAGCAAATACAAAACTACCAAAGAAATGAACAACGTTTTTAATCTCTACTACTTAACAAGCAACTTACAACGAATTCTTATGCAAATATTTCTACTACTTTCATTTTACATTCAAAAAAACCAATCAAAATGTTTGCTCACAATGAAAACAAACAAAAACTTTGCCAAAAAACACACAATGTGGCCATATATATATATATATATTCGAAAATCGAAAACCAAAAACCGAAACAATAAAAAATGTATAGGAGTTGGCCACAAAACTCTCACGGAGTTTCGATATGAAGGAGGAAGGCGGCACATTGCTGGGCGATAAAGGTGTACGAAGGCATCAGGTGAGTGCTACTCGAAATCTAGTGCAAGCACACTAACTACCAGATATCTAACAATATATAACTGACTATACAACAGCACTTGAATGCCCAGAACAACAACAGTAACAAAACTTCAATAAAAAATAATAATATGACTAAGAGCGTATGCGAAATAATGAGTTTCGGTTCGAAATTATCAAAGTATCAGTTTCGTCGGTTGTTTACAAAATTTAATACAATTTGGTCACCTCCCCCCGAAAAACATTTCATGATTCATTTCAAACAAAAAACACACAAAGTTTCTCCTCTATCTCTACTGTATATCTCTATCTATTTACCTAACTCAAAAATAAACTGCAATAATGCCATTGAATATTTTAAACTAGCAAATATATATATGTACAAATTTGAATTGGCCTAATTTACTATAGCTTGAACCGTTTCCTATTGTTTACCTCACACACACAGAATACACTCGTAAATAAGTACAAACAACCCGAACAACAAACTATTTACCAAGATCCTCAGATCGACAACAACAAAACGTTCAATTTGCTTGCCTTGACTTTACCAAAATCACAAATTCTACTTAATCAGCTTGAACCAAGTTACCTTTTGATCCAAACCAAAACACAATTTGAGCATTTACTTAAACTTAGAATCGAACCAGTAGTATATCGATCCTTTGACTTGGTTAAACAACGAATAAACCTATATTTAAATGGAAATTGTTTGCGAAATCGGTCGAACATTCGCCATATATACATATATATGACTTTATGAATGCGATTTGTTTCATTTTCAGTCCATGCAGCGTCTGTCAGCGGAGCAGAATGGTGGTTCAACGACTGAACAAACACATGAACACAATCCAAACGTCGTACCTGATCATAGAGGCAACTTACACATTACAGTTAAGAAAACCAAACCAATTTTAGGTATTGCTATCGAAGGTGGTGCTAATACAAAACACCCGCTCCCTAGGATAATCAATATCCATGTGAGTATTCTGTACCTCGAGTAGAGTGCGATAAGTGTAATTAAATCATTTTAATTTGATTTTGCAAACAGGAAAATGGTGCAGCATTTGAAGCGGGCGGCCTTGAAGTCGGGCAATTGATCCTGGAGGTGGACGGAACCAAGGTGGAAGGTCTACACCATCAGGTAATGGAATTATATTTCAAAAACAATTAACTTCTTAATGATAAACATCATTAAATATTAACAGGAGGTCGCTCGACTGATAGCCGAATGCTTTGCTAATCGTGAAAAGGCTGAAATAACCTTCTTAGTTGTCGAAGCAAAAAAATCAAATTTGGAACCGAAGCCCACGGCGCTGATATTTTTAGAAGCCTAACATTTGCTTGCCCTGCCGGCCAGTGACCCATTGGAACGCCAGAAGCTGGAGTTCCTCTACGAATGGGGCATCGATTTAACGGAGACGCCAAAACCAATGCCAACACCAATACCGCTAACGAAAGCCAAGAATCCGCCGCCACTGCCGCTGCCCCATGACAGCAGCCTTAACAGCCACTACGGCGGCAGTTCGGCGATCAGCAATCATCAACCTCATCCACATCAGCATCCTCAGCATCAGCAGCAGTCACACACCAGCAACAACACCACCAACACACAAGCAACACCAACAACGGGAGCAGCAGCAACTGCAAACAAGCAGCAGCAGCAGCAGCAGCAGCAACAGGTCAACACCAACACCAAAACGAACACGCCCACAAAAGCATCGCGGGAGGCAACTCCCACCAGGGAGCAGCATCAGCGACATGCCACGCCCACACGCGACCAGCCGCAGCAGCAACACACGCCCACGCGACAACAGCAGCTGCAGCAACGCAACGAGCAACGCGAGCAACAGCGCGAGCAACGCGAACAGCAGCAACACCAACGCGAGCGGCAGCAACAGTTGCGAGAGCAACGCGAACAGCGCGAGCGGGAGCACCAACACGAACACGACTACGATCACCAAGGACACCATGCACACGGACACCATCATCGGGAGCATCACGACTCCCACCACCAACACCAACACCAACAGCAACAGCAACATCATCATCACCAACATCATCATCATCCTTCATCGGCATCACAGCAGCAACACCAACGCTACAGCAGCAGCAGCAACAGCTACAAAACTCATAATAATTCCGTTTACCAGTAAGAAGAAACCGAAACGCAAACAAAAAACTCAACAACAATGCAATTCCAGCGATTGGAGCCACGAACTATTTTGGAAACATTCTTTCAAACTGCAACAGCAATTCAACCAGTAAACAGTTTAATTGTGCTAACTTTTATACGAAAACAAACTTTAAATTCTGCCCCCCCCCTTGAGTCCCTCATGCACGCCTCTTTCTACACTGCAAAAAAGAAAAACAAACCCAAGCGCTTGACAAAAGATATCTGAAAAATTGGCCTGAATTTCGTGCAACTAAAAATGCTGTAACATTTTTATTTTTGGAGTGTCTATCTATAAATTACAACAGGTTGTTGTAATACACCAACGCTTAACTAGGCCCCCCTGTAGAAATGTTTTACAATTTATGGTAGCTAAAGAGATGCTCTGGACCAAAAAAAGGAAGGTTTGAATGATTAAAAAGTGAGTTTTTGAAAAACCCAATTTATGTTTCATAAGTTTACTTTACGGAATCAAGTTTAAGATGCGACTTACTCTTTTAGAAAGCAATTTTATGTTAAATACAAACATTGTCCATCAGTTTAAATTTTTGTGAAAAAAGATTTCAAGGTTTATCTTTTGTCATAAAAATAAGACCTGATGGAAAATGATTTCATGTTTAAATTAAAGTTATCTTTATAAAAAAGCAAGTCACATCTTAACTAACTTTAAACTTTTATTTCAGAAATATCAATTGCAAAATTTTAACACTGCCAAAAGGTTAAAAACAAAATCATATATAAGAAATATAACAAAACCCAGAGCATCTCCCTAACTCGCTTGGCCATCTCCCCGCAAATCTCTCACTTTGAATACTACTTAGAACCAAAAACCACTCCAATCCTCAACTAGATCTTAAACAGATGACCTTGGGTGCAGCATCCCGATGCCCAAGATCCCCCTATCGAACCCCCGCGCTAGTCGAAATGTGTAAATCTGTGTAAACTCTAAAAGAAAAACATATTATTGTATGATTATTATTACTATTGATTATCGATCGAGCAAAATGTAGTTTAGACAGTTGATCATTACTTGTTTAAACTAAGGGCCGACCAGTTTAGGTTCACAATGATACTGTAAGAGCCCACAAAACCCCCCCAAAGGAGATAGAAAACAAACAAGAGCAACCGAATAAGGCAGACATTTACATTAAGAAAACCAAGAGCTTAAAAATGTTAAAAAATGAACACGTAAAATATCTAAACATTAATGAAGAATCCCCCTAAACAGTAAGCAAAAGAAGGAGACGGATGCAGAGAAACTTTTATGAAAAAATCGCATAGCAGGCACAGACGACACACTCACAACACACACACAACACTGTAAAATGTATAAATAATCAGCAAAGAGAAAACTAGTAATGCATTATCGCTTTTGTTAATATCAAAAAACAAGACTCTAACACACACACACAGCACACACACACTCGCATGCATATTGCCAAATTGATTGTATTTACAGCAGCAGCTAATTGAACAAGAAACCAAGAACAAAACAAATATGAAGCCCACCTAAGCCAGAGATAATTTGTAAAAATTAAAATAATCGTAAAATTAACTCACAGAAAAAAGTGTATAAAATTATAAATATATATTAATATGAGAATGCAGTAGCTACGCCCACACACACACACTCGAACACAAGACACACACACGAAGACGATAACACCAACACCACCCCCCTCAGAGATACTTAGCCCGAAAAGCGCATTAATTCTAAATTTTAACCAAACAAAATATCAAAGTAAAGTCCCTTAGTGTGGCCAGATTTATCGAGGAACCTCGAAAAGGATGTCCTGATCTTGGATTTCTCTATAAGTCTGATTGCATTGAAGGCATATCCCTGTTATTAGTACAACTTAAACTGCACACTGCACGATTTTTGAATGTTTGTTAAATGTTTTTAAGAGCAACAGCCAACACCAGGTAAATCCGCTGCAAAATTGTATTCTCCTCTTCACTACAAAAAAAAAAAAGAAAGGAAAGTCCCCTCCTGTCCCCTCACAGAAACCGATGATCCCAAATCCCCAACTCCAAGCCCCAAAAATATTTACAACAAAAATGGTAAACGAATTATGAAACTGCTAGGACGGGAGGGCGGGCCTCTACGCCCACCTCCTGCCACTAAAAATTGCTACAAAATAACATTAACGCTGTAGAGAACAACAAAAAAGAACGCTTAAAATTTGAGGTTGATTGGCATTAAGTAAAAAAGTTAAACGATGTTGAAGCGGAAAGAGCCGAGCCGACAGGGCGCGATCACAAGCAAATAAAGAAACCAAATAATATATATATACGAGTAATAAACAACTTGAACTGGGGCACATCGAACACCGGATTGTGCGAAACTATAACTTCATATATGTATTGTGTAAAATATTAGCAAAAAGAAAAAACGACAAAATCCTTTTTATAAATCAAAAAACGGAAAACTTAACAAAAATCCAAATATTTTTCGCTCTCTCTTTCAATTTCGATTATACGATCTACGATCAATCTATTGTATATCTCTGTCACTCACTCACAAATCAGAATCAGTCGTCAATCGTTCAGTCAATCGTTTCGGCAAAAGTCTGTTGATTTCGTTTGTTGTGTGTGATAGTGTTTGGAATATATATAAAAGACGAAACCCTTGCATGTCATTAAAGAGCAATTTGTTCGATTTGTGTCTACTGAAATGTGTACAGTGCGCGCAGGGTCCTTGTGTGTCCTTGTGCCGCCTCCTGATTTGATCATCGCCAGTGGAACTATATATATATTTCTCTGCTTAACTCTCAATCTAATTAACTCTCTTTATGTCCTTTTACTTACGTGTCTGTGTGGAAAGTAAATATACAAAATTAATACAATTGAAATTGAATCGTTATATGGAGGTAATCAGAGGTACTTGTATTTTTGTTGACTATTATGTAATTAAACGCTTTACTGAATATCAGTTGTGTACATTTTTTAGCTACCAATGGAAATTTGAATACCAAATTCAAGCAAAAGCTTATGCTGTTACTTATTGTTAGTGAATTTACCAAAACCAAAAACAAAAGCAAACAAAATATTAAGTAAAAACTAAAATGTAAAACTCAAGTTGAATTTTCCAAAATTTATAGAAACCAAAGATAAATACAAAAAAAAAAAAATCATTTTGCAATGTTCAAGCGTGAAGATGGAGAATATATATATATATACATATATCAAGGGGACTGCCTTGTACGCCTTTGTATATTGCGGGCTTAACTTAAACTTTGAGAACTACGAGATAAATATCTATTTAATATAATGTATACATGCCCTCGAGCAGAACATTAAACATGCGGAATTCATATATATATATGCCGCATGCTATATACTATATCTAAATTGTAACGACAATGAGAAGCAATTGTAAGCAAGGTGAGGAGATGAACAATTTCAATTTCAACTTCAACAAATACCCCACACACGCAAGACACACACACACACACACACACACATACACATTTATGTGAATTAATATGTATAGTACTATATATATAACTATGATTACAGATGAGAACAGGCTATGCTATCTATATGCTATGCTAATAAAAGGGTAAACGGCATTTAAACTCATTCAACCAAACCGAAACAGAAACATAAACATAAACAGAAACAGTAATCGAAACTGAAACAGAAATGAAAGCTTATAAATACCATACCATTTAGATCCACACAAACCACAGCCACAACCATGTACCACGTAAATATCGTATCGTAAATAGCAATAGCCTATAGACATAGTTGATACGGATAAAGGATAATGGATAATGGTTAATGGATAATGAATAGCTTAAACTTATCGACTTAGCAGAGCCTCAGCCGGGAGCTAAATTGTTGTACGATTAAGATTGAGCTAGACTTTTAACCAGAGATAATCCAACTTGTAGATATATCGATATATATCACATATATAGCGTATATATATGTATGATTGTGTATATTACCGGATGAGAGAACTCCCCTGATTTCCAGGTCTCGCTTTTGAGTTGATCCTAACCCTTATAGAATATATCAATCCCTGATCCTGTCCCTAGCCTTATAATTATTTCCCCAACATTCAGACCAGACCACAAACAAGAACAAGAACAACCAACTACAAAACAAAACAAACTGTGCCACCTAGTACATAACAAGAAATGGTTATATATCTGTATCTGCTATATAGACACTATTAACACTTACAACACGGACTTGTATTATACCTAGATATATTATATACATATATATAGAAAGAGAGAAAGGATAACACTCAATGCTCACTTTTATATTTTTTATCATACATACATACATGCATATATCAGAAAGCTAAATGAAAGTAATATTGACACAGAACGAAGCACCGTAAGAACCACTGAACGAACCACTAAATCGAAGTCAAAGTAACTCTCATATTCCCAGAAGAACATATATTTCTATAGAGTGTACAAGTTCTATATAACATATGCCTAGATATCCTATCCTTTGCTTTTTAGGGCCTATTTGCTTTGCTTGCGAGACGAAATTCCCCTCCTTGTCCCCCAGTCCCCTCAGTCTATTTGTTTCAACTCTAAGCCCCCATTCAAAGTCAGACAATTAGGAAACATAACACCAGGCATAAACGCAAAAGATCGAGCTAAACTAGTGCTTAGTGTTTAAGGGGTAAACAACCTCCAAATAATGGTATTTCAGTTGTGTATATTGTAAAGAACAATTATGAATGAGCAGACATAAAGTTAAACATTTAAAGCATAAACAAGAAAAACAAAAACAATTTATTGAAAACATTAAAAAGTAATTGTATTTATCAAAATTAATACAACAAATCTAAGGCATTAGCATAGCAATGATAATGGTATATATATATATAAATTGAAACGGAAATGAACACAAAAGCGCTGATTTAATATTATATTATTATTAATTATATTATTGCAAACAAAGTGAAAAAAAAAACAAATGATATTGTCCTTGGTATTTACATATACATAAAGAAAAACAGCAAAAAAAAATAAGAAAAGAAAAGAAAAATAAAACCAAATGTTTTTTTATAAAAAACCAAGACTTTTATGAGCGGTGCTCTCTCTGGAATGGAACTGGTTGGATCTCTATTTATATATATTTATCCAACAGGTACAAATAATCAATTCTATTCGCATATATATTCAAGATTTTTCCAAGCATCAGCCTCTCTTCGAACAGGTTCAACCACACTATTTGCATATTGATCTGCTTAGCTTAGCTTGTTTTGATGTTTTGTCTATCAGTTTGCTCTAAACCCTCCAGTAGATCATATTGGATAATGCCGCAGGCCAACCTCAAGCTGAGTCCACATGACCAGCAGGTGCTGGACTCCATTTTCAATCCCCTCGAGCTCAGTAGCCTCCAACCAAATGATGCAGTCCCCGCCGAAGCTGATCTAACAGATTTGGAACCCGACACGGAAGCCATCAGGGCGTCCAGGGAGCTGGAACTGAAGGCCATTTGCTTAGCCGAAAAGGGTGAACTGCCAGAGGCCCTGGAACTCTTTCGCCAAGCCTTCGATCTGGCCCAAAGGCCCTCGGTGCTGAACAATCGGGCTCAAGCACTACGACTGGCCCAAAGGGAGGAAGGTGGGTCATAGGTCAATTAGATCATGCGTTTAACTTATTTTTTCATATTAATCATAAATTCTGCAACTAATTCACTATTTCAGAGGCCCTGGATGACCTAAATAAAGCCATAGAACTGGCTGGTTCACAGGAGAATCGCACTAAGAGCCACGCCCTTTGTCAGCGCGGTGTTCTCTATCGCAAGTTGGATAAGTTGGATGCAGCTCGTTCAGATTTCGAGGCAGCAGCTCAATTGGGTAGCAAATTCGCCAAAGAACAGGTAAGAAATAAAATGAAACTTGAAGAATCTTCTAGCAACTCCTGCTCTTTTTAGCTTGTGGAAATCAATCCCTTTGCAGCGCTCTGCAATCAAATGCTTCGACAAGCCTTCGATCAGCTAAAGTGAATCAAGGATGCTGGAATTGCTGCGATTTTATATAATAATAACCTTAGAAATGATCTAAAACTAACTTTAAGCAGCCCTGCAGTTTTAAACTAGATTGAATTGAAAATCAATCATAATTAATCATACATTTTAAGTCAAAAAGCATTTTTGTTCTAGTTTTAGTAGGGTTAATAAATCGAAATACGGAGTTTAAAATTTTGAAATAAACGGTACAATTCCTAAAAGATATGGGTAGACTGAATGATCACGATTATATAAAGTTTTAAGGATTAGAAGTTCGGAAACAACTCTTTCACTAAGTAACTCCTAACTAAAGTACAAGTAAGGGAATAAATTATGTCAATATTTCAGGCCTTATTTTAATATCTTCTCTTAATTTGTAAAAGATCATATATATTAACATATATTTTATAAATTTTTAAACTCCCATTAAGTTTGCTAGATTCTAGGAACATTGAGAATTCCTTCGATAAACTATTTGTCGGTTTTTGGGTTTTAACAAAAAAAAGTTAACACAATCAAGTGTGTCTTGACTCTATATTGTGTCATTGTAAATATTCCGACCTCTCAAGGAAATCATTCGTTTTCTGACTGTTGAACAGTGCAGACTTTATATTTCATTATTTATTTTTTAATTTTTGTTTTGGTATGTTTTTGTTTCTTTGTTTTGAATAATACATTATTAAATTTTTTATAAAATGTCTTTGACATTACAGAGTTTTCATTTTTATTTTTTTCTCTCATGCGATTTTTTGTGCTTTTTGTTATAGCTTTTGTGAGCTTTTGATATATATATTTGCCTTATCTTGAATATTATTGAGCTTTTGTATTTTACATTGGGTGACTCGATTTCTTTAGTGTCAAATGTATAAAGTATAATGTTATGTAAATGTAAAATAAAAGAGTGCAGATTTATATTAATTAGTTTTACTCTAAAGGGTATTTAAATTATTTTTTATACTTTCCACATGGAAAATGCTTAGAGTATTGGGATTTATTTTACTATATGTGTATAAATATATATTACAACAGCAACTCTTGCATCAGCAACTCCTGCATTGTCCTGAAAAATCTAACTCGCTTTGATTTGAACTAAAAGCCAAGGGGCTCGTTAACATAAATAAAACTTAATTAAACTGAAGGCGCGGTGTTTTGGGGAGATAAGAAGTCGGTCGGAGCAAGCTGCAAAAAGTGGCACGTGCACCGCAAACCGCTATGAAGTCTAAAGATCCAGGACCAGGTCGTGAGCACTCCGGGGTCTTACACACACAAGCAGATGAGCTGGTAAACAGACACAGATATGGCCAAGATATGACAACCGAAGCTTCAAATACCCTAACTAAAAATCAACATAATTATACACCAGAGATTGTTTAATTTAATATTTTTCCATGTCCAGGTATGGCTTTGTTTCATATTTATTGCAATTCAGGAAGACTTGTAAAAAGATTTCGAACTTTTCTAAATAAAAGGGGCATTGTTTTGGTCAAAATTGAGTTGCCCTTTGAAAGGGTATCCCTATAGAAGCGGCACAAAAACGAAAACAGTTATTAAATGCAGCAGGCTCTTGTCAGATTGCAGCAGGCTGGCTGCCTGCCAATTCCCCCGACCCTCTGGATCTCCAATCTCCCTGCCCCACGATCCCCACGACCGCAGGCCAAATTAAAATAAACGAAAGTGGTTTGTGGGTCCCAGGACGAACGACAAGGAGCTCGGATTCGTTTTGGCTTTTGCGATTTTCGTGCGGTTTCGTTTTTGGCACACGCTCTGCAGGATCCTTGCTCCCCAGGATCCTGTGCAATGTAAGCGCGCCAAGCTTAACAGTTAAGCAAGTCACTCACTCGCATACATATGTAAGTATGCCAGAGACCTGTAAGTGCGGCACTTAATTCTGCTTTGTCCTGCTTTCCTGGCCAGGCCTGGGCCACGATTGCGGTCAAAAGACGCGCGTCCTGGCACCAAAAAGGCTACAAGCAGGTGCACCTGCATTCGAAAAAAAAAAAAATATATATAAAGAAAATTAAAACTGTCTGTTAAGCAAAGGGCAGAAAACACAAAAGAATGTAACAGTCTGACTAACATTCGACTAAGGGATGTCCTGGAACAACAAAGAAGGTTTTTACATAATTAAAAAGGATATAGAAGATTAGGGAAGTAATTATTATTAATTTGTTCGAGAAAATATATATTTAAAAACCTTAGGAATGGAGTTAGTCATTTGATCATATTTTTCTTAGTAATAAATGAATCCTAGGCATACCCTTTGTACTTAAATACCCTGTACCAATGACTATTATTACACGGTATAAATGCTAAAAAAAAAGAATGCCAGAGTCAAGTGTTATCTAGATAGGAGAAGAAATTCCTGCTAGGGAGCGTCAAACTCGACGAAGGGAACTCAATTTTTGATTGATCTTTTTACATATTCCCGGATGAGTGGAGAGCGGGATGAAGGATAGGAAGTGAGCTCTTGTAGGTAGGCTGGCATTGCGATCCTGCGTCCTGCGTCCTGCGTATCCTGCGTCAGTTGTGCTGAAGCCACAGCAAGCGGGGGAAAAACGCCATATGCTGCACTTGAAGCGCAGGCAGCAAAAGGCAACCAAAGGCAGCGTCGGCGGCCAAATCATTAAGTTGAGGTTAACGGGCAGGGATACCTTTTGGTCCTTTTTGGGTCCAGAGCCGGAACCAAATGCTCAATCTTGACCGGAACTGTAATTTGATCGAGCAGCGAGCACAGATATTAGATACGATAACATCTTCCATCATCATCGGGAGCAGCTTTTTCCTGCCGAAAATTATAAACTAAGCTTCACTAGATCGAGATTCCCCGAGGAACAATCTCCTGGGTTATTCACCCGTGCGATCGTTTTGCCCAACAGTTGCACATTTCTGAGTCCTTTTTTCCTTGTTTTATTTTTTTGCTCTCTTTTGCCTTTTCACCTTCCTTTTTGGCAGGCTGCTGCCTTGCACTACCTGAGTTCCTGGGCTCGGGGCGCGTGCCTGCTGTCGTCGTCGACTTGGTTGGGTTTCAGCTTGGTGCTCGGTGCATCTGTATCTGTGTATCTGTATCTGAGCGCACATGACGCCGCTGCTCACCTTTTAGTTTTTTTTTTTGCCTTTCGCTCTCCGCCGTCGAGGTTTTTGGGACTTGAACTGTAATTCAGGCTTCTGCTTATGCAAATATTTTGATCAGAGGTCGAGACGAGGACAGTTGGAAGTCAACAGGATGGCAAAAAGGAGCAAGGAGCTCGATGTCAAGGGGAACTGGTGGCAAAAATTAAGCGCGTTTTAGCTGTATTTTATAGTACCGTACTAAAGCTATAGTTGGAGTGGCAAGATATGTGATTTAAAGTGATCGGAGCATAGACTTTAGCCTTGAGAATATTTACTAGAACACTTTTCTTTATAGAAAACCTATAAGGCAGTAGGAAAAGGATACACAAATTTTAAGATTTCATATATAGGATATATTTGAAGACTTGAGATTATGTACTAAAAGGGATAAAACCCATTTCCGTAAATTTATAACACACCATTGAAAACAAATACATTTTCATTGTGTTTCTTTGATAATTAGCCAAAGAATGTAGTCAATCTGTGCGGTATATTTGAGTTTCTGCATAGATTAGCCGTCTTTGGGTTCTTGAACCTTTTCTAATTGTTGACCAACTGATGTGAGTGGCCAAACAAACACATAAATCTCCTGAACCTGAAGCCTCCCAGCAGCCTGCTTCCATCGCTCATGCAAGACGCGTTGACATTTATGAATTGCTGGGCAATTTACGCGACACAAACCGCCAAGACACCCACTACCATTGGGAACACAACAACAGTGAAAACCATAACACAGGAGTTTGTACTGAGAAAAGAAAAAGGGGTACATAAACGGGCATTAAACATACATGAAGTTGGGTCTTCTCAAGCTGAAAAGCTAGCCATTTAATATTGTATTAAATTTATTGTAGATTGTAGATTTCTTCAAGTGCATTCAGCGCCACACGTAGCACATTCTCGTAGCCGACAATTTGCACCCAAGGGGATGCCCCGGGAACTTGAGAACCAGCGATCCCCGAGAGCTCTGGACCAGAGATGCGACTGGCGCCGACTACACTCGTCTTGAATGGGTCGCTAAATCAAGCAATTATGAGGGCCTTTGTGGCCACCATCGGGGCAACAAAGTACCCCAAGTGCCAAGGCAGACCAGGAGCACCAAAACGTATGCAAATCAGCCGCCCAGCCAAGACGGACAGGCTAGAGGCCGCCGCCAGAAGATAAAGGGAAATCTGTTCAGTTTTCAGTTTAGCTTCGGTTGCCAATGAATTGATTTTCCCCGGTCCACAGTCGAACAGCCTCCGACTTACGCGGCTGACTGGCCAGCTAAACTGGCTAGTTTATCGGCCAACTGGCACGCCCCTGCCGCCCCCCCCCCCCCCCTCGCCCCTGGGAGCCCTGCCACACACTGCATATATGTATGCAAAGCAACCGCCAAAGTCAAAAGAGAGTTTCGGGTGCTCGTTTTGGTGCCGCAAAGCATCCTCGGCCACAACTGCTGCTGCGACTGCGTAGAAGCCGCACGCCACATTTCAATGATAAATGTTGCCCCAGGGCCCCAGTCCCAGCGGCAGCCGATGCACTGGCAGAAAAAGATTAACAAATAAAAGGGTAATTTTAATAAATAAAGGGGGTATAATTACAAAACAATGTTTAGAGTCCAGATGAGCGAGGAAATATTTTATAAAGAGTTTTATTTCGTGTAAAGTTAGTCCAGAGACTGCTTTAAATTAAACAAGAAAGAAAACTAACTAGGGACTTAAATTACAAAACCCAGCAAGGATAAAATCATCCATTTTTAAAAGGATATACTATTGGAATCTCATTAAAAACAGAGCTAGTTGTAATGAATATAATAAGGAGCCTTCATATATCTTTCTATAAACTACTCAGCTGTTTTTCTTAGTGCCTCAGCAGTCTGATGTCGGGTTAACCAGCAGATTGCTCTTGGGCCGAACGCTATTTTGGGTAAATTGTTTTATTGCAGTTCAATTGTTGGCCGAGCTTCAGATGCAGCTACCTTTGGGTTTGTTTTGCTGCCTGGGATCTTGTCAAGCGGCGCTCGTTGGAGGTCCCCGAAGCGAAACAGTAGCCGCAGTTTAGCAGCAGTAAATTACCGTCCCAAAAGTTTGGGGCATTACAACTTAGTTG